TTATATTGGAAATACTTAACAGGTTTGGGAAATAACTTTTTAAAACAAGAATAGGCAGATTGAAATTTAATCTAATGCTCACTAAATAGTGGGTTTTTTACTGAATTTGTGGGATAGATTAAGTTCAGTTTCAGACCTGCATCAAAGCAGTGGAAAAGCACATTGACTATAGAATTGGGCTCCCTGCTTCTTGTCCTGCTTTGTCCTGTAAGTTACCTATTATTACCTGTTTTCTCATGTATGAAATGGAGATTACTACTTAGCATATAGAATTATTAGGATTGAGTGAGATATTGAATATAAGATTCAGTGCCTGACCATATAATAAACATGACATAGGGAGTGATTGTTTTTATTTTTTTTATCCTCACCCGAGGACATTTTTTGATATTTTGTTCAGATAGAGTGGGAGGGAGCGAGAGAGAGAAACATCAACGTGAAAGGGACACATCGAGTGGTTGCCACCCACACGACCCAACCAGGGCCGGGGGAAAAACTGCAACTGAGGTATGTGCCCTTAGCGGAAACCGAACCTGGGTCTCTCTGGATCGCAGGCCAACGCTCTAACCGCTGAGCCAAACCGGCCAGGGCCTGATTGTTGTTTTTAATATTACCCATTGTCTTTCCCATTTTCTGTGATTTTATTTTCTGTTGATTATCCATTTTCAATCACAACTATCTCCTTGTCTCTTGTTGAGTACCCTAAATAAGAAAGGGTACTTTATGTCTTTCACTTGCATTTTATATTCTTAATATATTTATGGGTATCAGTGGCTCATTAGAGATGATCGATGCATCTTTTCATGGCAGGGAGTCGTCGCATGGTGGATGTCATGGATGTGAACACACAGAAGGGCATTGAAATGACTATGGCTCAGTGGACACGCTACTATGAGACCCCAGAGGAGGAGCGAGAAAAACTCTATAATGTTATCAGCCTAGAATTTAGCCACACCAGGCTGGAGAACATGGTGCAGAGGCCCTCCACGGTTAGTCTAACCATTTTTTCCACCTTGTCATTGTCACTAAGAGGGTTTATATTTACTAGGAGAATTTACTACTTTTTGTACATACCAAGATGAAGATGAACAATACAATTTGATAAGAATAACTTGTATTTTTAGATGGTTCATCATTTTCAAATAATCATTTAATTTTATATGGGGAGGGGCCATTCTGATTTTCTTCACCAGTAACTTAATTTAGGAACATTGGTCTTTGCACATAATGAAGAACAGTCTTAAAATTCATTCTTGTATATAGTCAATAGGAAGCCTTATAAATTTTTGTCCTGTAGGTTTACATTTGCTAAGAAGCTTTGGGAGAAAGCTGGTTTAGAGCCAGGTGAATGTTTTATGAAATGATTTCTTAAGTAGATTCTGCTGGATAACTACCAGCAATAAATTGACACCCCATACTAAGGGGAAATTAATTTTTGATCCTTAGCTCTCCTGAAGGTAGATACTGATTGTACCCATCTCTTGGCACAGTAGTGGCTTTCTACAGGACATTGAGAAAACTTATTTTTCTGATTGGGATCGCTTTCACTTTTGAAATATACCTAGTCATTTTTGCATCAGTTTTATTCGTTTAATTCATTACTGACTCAGAACTCACTTTTGTCAAGTATTCCACTTGGAACAGCAGAACTTGGAATGTACTAACTTTTTTTTTTTTTAATGTTCAGTACATTTATTTTGGAAGAATTATATATACAATTCATATCTATACAAAACTCATACATATATGTATTATATACATAAATCACATACATAAACCACAAAATATGCTCACATATATATATAATTTATGTATGTAATTTTCAGTTTTATAAATATATTTGGGACCATCTAAGTTAGTTAACTTAGAATTGGTCCATCGAAGTATATTAATGCTTCCAAGTCACAAATATTTCATGAACCTTAGGTAAAAGACATGGTAGGTATTTTTAATATCTTAATTTGGGGGAAGGGGAACTTACTCAGTTTCTTCCCATTGACTTTTCTTTCAAATAATTAATTTTAAGAAACAAAATATCCAAAAAGTCTAAGACTTGAAGCACTTTAAAAGGAAGCTTTACTACAAGTGACTGAAAAAGAGTGTTAGGTAGCATTTTTGCACTCAGCTACTAGAGAACCAAACAGTGGAATGTATACTGTCCAAGATTCTACAACATACTTTAGGTTCTTTTGTTTGACTCCATAGACTTAATCTTGTTCACTTATAAAGTAAAAAAGTTTTACTTATTCTCAAACCCAGCTTTTTATAAATGGAGATTCTTGTACATTATTCCAGATTTAATGAGTCAGAACTTTAGGGGTAGTTTCCAGAAATCTGTATTTTTAATTCCTTAAGTGACTCATAATCACCCAGGTCTGGAATCAACTAGCCCAGACAATCACTGTAACCTCTTCCCCCACCCCCTGAAATAGGGCTGGCATTTGGAAATATGTACTCTTTTCTATGACTTGTGGCCATTAATCACCTTTGCCCCCCATTTTTTTTTTTGCTTTATTTTTTATTCACTGGCTTAATAAGTGTGCTAAATTAAAGCTTTAATAATAAGAGTAGAAAATATGCTCTATGGTATAACAAAATGTCTTTTCATAAAACATTATGTGCCAATAATGCATTTAAACTAAATACTACAAAATGTCTAGTTCTTTAAGAACTAACAATAAAATTTTCAAAAGCAAAGACCAAAAATATTAAACAAATTACTTTATGGTACAGAACATCCATCATAAACATTTATATAACAAAGCAGGCAGATTTTGTGCTAGAAACAGAAGGAGTAGAAAATCTGAAACAAAAAATTCAGGGAATGGGTATTCATAAATTTCTGGTTAAATGAAGCTTAATATTGTTAAGGACCAGGGGATCTTTGAGCATCAAATTTTGTTTATAAAAATAAAAAAAATTCTCAAACAACAGAAGTATATTTCTCTACCTCAAAAATATTTTTTTCTTTCTTTTACAATTCAGAACCCCACTGTTCATTTATCAGATATATAAATAGTATCTGATTAATTTCTTTAACTTAACTACTAGTGTCACCCTTCAGATGCTGATTTTGTTACATTTCCTTTTTTTTTTCCATAATGAACCGAGGGCTTATGATAGGGAAGATATTGAAACATGCTGACATAAAAACTGGTCTTAGAGATATTTTATTCATGTGCATTTGAGCAAGTGTTTATTGAAAGTGTACTACATTTCCAGGTCCTTCTTATTCACTTAACTAATCTTAACACTTCTTTAAATGATGGGCCTTCAGTGAGTATTATTAATCAGCATTTTCCATTAGCATTTTCTTAACCTTTGTTGTAAACTTTATTTTTTATTTTTTTTTTATTTTTATTTTTTATCCTCACTGGAGGACATTTTTCCATTTTTTGTTCAGGCAGAGTGGGAGGGAGAGAGAGGAACAGAGAGAGAGAGAGAGAGAGAGAGAGAGAGAGAGAGAGAAACATCGATGTGAAAGGAACACATCGAGTGGCCGCCACCCGCACAACCGACCAGGGCCGGGGACAAACTGCAACCGAGGTACGTGCCCTTAGCGGGAACCGAACCCGGGTCTCTCAGGACCACAGGCCGACGCTCTAACCGCTGAGCCAAATCGGCCAGGGCTGTTGTGAACTTTATATCTTCTTTATAATAGTGTCTTCCTGAATGCGCATTAGAAATATTATCTTCAGAAAGACAATGTTTTTTTTTTGTTTTTTTTCCCATTTTTTGTACAGATAGAGTGGGAGGGAGAGAGAGGAAGGGAGAGAGAGAGAGAAACATCGACGTGAAGGGACACATCGAGTGGCTGCCACCCGCACGACCAACCAGGGCCGGGGACAAACTGCAACCGAAGTACGTGCCCTTAGAGGGAACCGAACCCGGGTCTCTCCGGACCGCAGGCCGACGCTCTAACTGCTGAGCCAAACTGGCCAGGGCAAGACAATGTTTCTTGAGAATTTCTGTTTTAAAGTCTGTATTAAAAGAGACTGATAAAGGAATGCATAACTGAGCAAGGTATGCTTCTGCTTTATTTTCAGTTCTAACCATTATAAGTACTGGATTCTGCAAGATCATATTAAAACTCTTTGGTGAAGGATAGCAATTTTACACACAGAGGTTATATAAAAAATTAAATATTTGGCTCACTGATAGTAAATTAAAATTTGTATGAACACATGAAGCCTGAAACTTAAAAAAGTCCTAAGTGATAAAAAGTTAAGACAGTTAAATATTCATTGATATATTTATATCCTTTGTCATAAACGACATATAATTAAGAATGCAACTATTTTTTATTCTGCAAGTCAGATCCTGTCAAGTAACCTGCCATGTATGATCGATAATCTTTTTAAAATTTTAACTTAAAGACAATTAATCTTCCAAATGTTCTCAGAAAGAATTATCAGAAGCATCCTCCAAAAATAAAACACAGTTGGATAATAAGTTTACCCCAAATGAACTAGCTGTGCGTGCTGTGAGGTAGCAATGAAAGACTAAGATCTTCTGTAAAAATGGTACCCTCAGTGCATAAGTATTCTCTCTTCACATGAAGAGTGAGAATAACAAGAAGGGACAGGGTAACGTTTCATTATTTCATCAGTTATTGGTGTTTTTGTAGTATTTATTTATTTTTATCCTCACCTGAGGACATTTTTGCGTTTATCTTCAGATAGAGTAGGAGGGAGAGAACTAGGAAGAGAGAAAGAGAAACATTGATGTGAGAGAGACATTGAGTGGTTGCCACCCACACGACCCCACTGGGGCTGGGGACAAACTGTAACCGAGGTACGTGCCCTTAGCAGGAACCGAACCCGGGACTCTCTGGTCCATAGGCTGATGCTCTAACTGCTGTGCCAAACTGGCCAGGGCATTTTCATAGTATTTTAAATGCCTGATTTCTGTTTTACAGCAACAATACCAATATTTATTTTGAAAAGTAATTCTATCTTTAGAGGATATTAACAACTTCCAACACGATCTCTAAGAATAATTCACAGTTCTGAACCATGCTTTAGAAAACCATTTCCAGCAGTCTGTACAGGATTTACTCCTATTCCATCATTGGTAATAATTGCACTTGTGGCTGCAGGAACTTTAAATTCTTCTGCTGCAAACTTTAAGACTGCTCTGAAAGGTATACTTTCCAGAACACTGAATGCTTTGTACAGTAGCCACAGGTCGGACGTCAGCATGATCTTAAAGGAAACCTTTGACATGGTACAGCCGGCCTGGCGGACACACCAACTTCCCTTGTCTCTCCCTATTTTTTTTTAAGTCAAGGTTTTAGTGTTTTATCCATCTCCATTTAAATTATCTTAATTATACCCTTTTACCTTCAAAGTTGAAATATGGTAATTACTTATAATATTGTTATGTGTATGTGTGTATATATAAACACCTTTAGCTTACTAGTAAGTTACTTTGTTATAATACTAATACATTGATATGTATAGACCAACAGGAAAATGTTAACTGTATTTCACAATTATCTGAAGAAACAGTATGATTTTTTTGTCATTGTTTCTTGTTACTAGAGATGCCATAACTAAATACAGAATTTCTCATTAAGCAAACTTTCCCCCCTTAGAATGACAAAAGTCCTTTTTATAGTAATTGTTTGGTCATATGGAAGTACAGGAAGATAGGAAATATAGGTGGTTAGAATTTAGCCTTGTTACAGCCAAACATGGTCTACTTAATAAATAAAGAATTCAATAAATGAGGGATGTAATAATTACAATAACATATTTTTATAAATGTGTTCCTTAATATTTTTAGAATTTCCATTTAAAAGTAATATGATTGTACTAATAAAATTAAAACTTGATCTGGATCATACTTTTCCATTTTTTAAATTTAGAAATGTGTTACACATGAAGCCTTCTTTGTAGTATCCTTAATTTATTCATTATGTCTTAGTTTTAATGATAAAAAATGTTGATAAAATATTGTTTTATAAAAATACTGTACTATAGCCAAGACAGTGTGTTTCAGTGGTTGTGCATCAACCCATGCATCAAGGGGTCACCGGTTCAATTCCTCTCAGGGCACATGCCCAGGTTGTGGGCTTAATCCCCAGTAGGGGGCATACAGAAGGCAGCCCATCTGTTCTCTTTCATCGATGTTTCTCTCTCTCTCTCTCTCTCTCTCTCTCTCTCTACACACACACATACGCGCACGCATGCGCACAAATTCAATAAGGAAAAAAATTTTTTTAAAAAGTATTGTACTAGTAAATGGAGGAATACAATATGTAGAAGGGCTTAGAAGTAGAAACTTTTCTTGAGGACGAGTATCTTTTAGATACCTAAAACTTGGCCAGAAAGATTGAGCGAGCTATTACCAAGGTCACCTCCTAAGAGCAAGGAAGCTTTCTATTACCTTACTATGTAAGCAGTAACATGCTTATTCTACTGGGGTACTATTTATTTATTTACTGTTTTTGTTTTTATTTTTATTTTTTGGTTTTTGGTAGGTTTTTGTTTTGCCCACAGTTATCCCTCCATTTATCTAGGTCTTTTCAAATATATCTCAATAATGCTTTTTTAAAAATCAACTTTATTGAGGTAAAATTTGACATATAATGTACCCATTTTGGTGTACATTTCAATGAGTTTTTAAAAGTTTAGTCATGCTAAACACTGTGCTAAGTGCTTGAGGCACTGTGGAAAATAAGACCATCCTTATCCTCAAAATGCTTAGAGGAGAAAGACCAGAAAATGGGCATTTATATAAACTTCAGTATGGAAGTACTTCAGAAGTGAATAAATAGCCCTGTCCAGTTTGTCTCAATGGTTAGAGCATCAGCCTGTGGACCAGAGGGTCATGGGTTCAATTACCGGTCAAGGCACGTACCTGGGTTGCAGGTTCAATCCTCAGCTCAGTCAGGGTCTTTCAGAAGGCAAACAATTGATGTGTCTCTCTCACAGCGATGTTTCTCTCTCCCTTCCTTCTGCTTTATCAAAAAATCAATGGAAATATATCCTTGGGTGAGGATTTTTTTTAAAAAAGTGAATAAATGCAGAATATTATAAGAGCTAATAGGATGGACCCACCTAACCTAAACTGGAGAATTGGGGACACTCTTTGGAGGAGGTGATACCTAAACTTGACATGAAGGAAATAATGATGTGAAGAGAATGAAGACTAGAATTTCCGACAGAAGGAATAGAATGGTGCAAGGGAGAGTAATATGGGCAACTTTTAAGTGCCCATTGTGGGTGTTAGTATGAAGTGGGATTCTCTGCTAAGACGAGAGAGATCATCTACTGCTGTCATTCCAGCAGTAAGTGAGAGGTAGATGAAAATTAGCAACAGATACAATATGCATATTTGTTTGGTGATGGGGAAATTAGTTTATGGGAGGCCACGAGCTGTTTTTGCATAGTGGATAAATAGATTAGGTCCTAGGTATTGGACTTCTTGCCAGTTTGGCCCTGTATTGGTGCAGAAACAGATAGAAACTGGTGATTATCCCCACAGGAGACTTGCTTTTAAATGGATGAGACCATTTAACAAAAAGCCTATGCAGAGCCTAAAGATTAACCTAAGAAAAAAAGTATGAACACCTTACCACAATATTCTCTTGGAAGTCAGACAATACCTAATAATACCAAGTAAAGGGAGGGTAGGATGAGTGACTTGTTGTAGGTGAGAAATTCTGGCCAGAGTAATTGACCTTTCTCTGAATGAACACGATTTTTTAAAATACTTGTGTGTTTCTTATTTTTCCTCTCCCTCATCCAGATGTAAGAACTTACAGGGTATTGAGCAAGTACAATTATTCATTATTTTGTTAAAGACTTTCCAAAGGATAATACCAGGAGATGGGAGATGCTGGCCGCTACATTAAGAGAACAGAAAGTAGATTTTGTTTGAGGGAAAGAAATAAATCTGAGTTTCACTTAGTGTTCTAGACCCATTGAATGCTTGGTTAATTAAAACTGTTGGCACATTGAGCAGAAAGAATTCTTTGAACCCTGGTTGGTTTGGCTCAGCACTTAGAGCATGGGCCTGTGAATCAAAGGGTCAAGGGTCTGATTCCTGGTCAAAGACACATATCTGGCTTGCAGATTTGATCCCCAACCCTGGTTGGGGTTGTGAGGGAGGCAACCAATCAATGTGTCTCTCTCACATTATCTCTTTCTTTCTTTCTCTGCCCCCCCCCCCCCAATGCCTTGCCACTCTATCTAAAAACCAATGGAAAAATATCCTTGAGTGTGGATTTAAAAAATGAAAAAGAGCCCTGACCTGTTTGGCTCAGTGGTTGGAGCGCCGGCCTGCGAACCAGAGAGTACTGGGTTTGGTTCCCGCTAGGGGCACGTACCAAATAAATAAATAAATAAATAAATAAATTAGTTAAAATAAATAAAAAATAAATTCTTTGAAATGAAGCAGCAAGTTAACCTTCATAGTTGCTCATCATCTCGCCCTGGCTCAGCGGTTGGAGCGTCGGCCTGCAGTCCAGAGAGACGCGGGTTCGGTTCCCGCTAAGGGCATGTACCTTGGTTGCAGTTTGTCCCCAGCCCCGGTTGGGTTGTGAGGGTGGCAACCACTCGATGTATCCCTTTCACGTCGATGTTTCTCTCTCTCTCTCTATCTGAACAACAACAAAAAAAGAACATAGTTGCTCATCATCTTGCTTGTTTCAACTTGCATGTCATTGGTGATCCCTTCCAAACACTGTCCCACAGTTTACATCTGGGTGTCCACTGGACACCTGCCTCATATCATTATACATAGGTTGTATGCATTTGTCTAGATATGTATTGTATATCAAACATATAGATGTTGTTACAAAGCTTACTAGCTACATGTTTTTTACAATCGTAAGTTATATATTTACAATATCAGTACTATGCTGGATTCATGGTTGTTTGGCTCACACTTTATCTACCTCAGACTGGTTCTTAGAGTTCAAGTGCTTGGGTGCACATTTGAAGGTCCAGGATATGTTACAATTTATTTATTTATTTATTTATTTATTTATTTATTTATTTATTTATTTATTTATTTATTTAAATCCTCAACCGAGGACATTTTTCCATTTTTTGTTCAGATAGAGCGGGAGGGAGAGAGAGGAAGAGAGAGAGAGAAACATCAATGTGAAGGGACACATCGAGTGGCTGCCACCCGCACGACCAACCAGGGCCGGGGACAAACTGCAACCGAGGTACGTGCCCTTAGCGGGAACTGAACCCGGGTCTCTCTGTACTGCAGGCCGACGCTCCAACCGCTGAGCCAAACCAGCCAGGGCACAATTTAACGTGAAGTGTTCAAATAAGTTCTCTTCTCTGCCCTCCCCTTCCTCTCCTCTCCCACTTCACTTTGGTATCTTAGTTGCTCTAACAGTGTCATAGCTTTCTTTTGGCTTATAGGTACCTTCCATATGGTGCCTCTTATTGGATCAGAAAAATACAGTTGATTATACCAGTACTGACACAAAAGAGAGGGCTTGGCTGGATACTACTGTGTCATTCAATGACTTCATTTTGATTAGTACTATCTTTATGATCATGTTGATGGAACCATTAGTCTTTATTCTTATTAAATAATAACTTCTACAGTGTTTGTCTACTGATGCTAAGATTGAACAACAATTTGTTTTAGCTTGCTTATAATTTATCTTTCAGTGTGCATTTTGAGAAATTCTTTTTTTTTTTTTTTACTTTAAAATTCTCTTTAATTCCAAACCTTACCTTTGAAGCCTAAATGTTTCCTCTTCCCTTTTAAAGGTGGATTTCATTGACTGGGTAGACAACATGTGGCCAAGGCATTTGAAGGAAAGTCAGACTGAGTCAACAAATGCCATCTTGGAGATGCAGTACCCTAAAGTGCAGAAGTAAGTGGCTTACCTTACATTTTCAAGTGTGTTTGGGGAGACCAAGGTGATAGCAGGGAATGGTTCTTCGCTCAGGAGCCATGCTCCATGTCCTAAATGATCAAAAACACGAATTCTTTAAAGAGTAGCCTTTACAGTTCCAAAGGAAAGAGTGTATGTAAGAGTATTACATCCCATGATCACATGGTTAAAGAAAAAATCTTATCCTGGTAATGAGATGACTTGCAGTTGCATTCCTCTCACTGACTGGAGTCTGTAAGGTACAAGACAGAGGGAACACACAAGGGGAGAGTGTTGCATTGTGGTGGGGCAGTCCTCTTTTTCTTGTCAGTGCACTAACGCTGCTGCTTTTTTTGGGGGGGTCAGGTACTGTCT